TCAGTACATCGGTGTAAACAAATGTAACAATCCAAGAACAATGAGGAACTGAGTAGATGAAGATTTTGTTCCTCCCAGGATGTGTTCAGCTGGTGCAGTCTTGTCCTGGAGAATCACAGCATCATCGATCATTGAGGTCTCAGTTGTGACCCGGAGCCAAAATGGAATTATGTCTCGGAATTCCATAGCTGGGCCGTAGGCAGGAGAACTAGGCTAACCAAATGATTTTACCCTAAAATTATGCAGCATTGCTCCCGACATATCTCCCTTTCTTTTTGTTTTATGTGAAGGTGTTTTTAGGAAAACCAAGCACACCCAACAATGGCTTGTCCCTATATATTGTGAGGATCTAGAGTGTGTGTGACTGGCTTAGCTGTCTATAATAAGCATAATTTCTCTTAATTGGGGCTGTAAAAGGATTAAAAATCTAATTAATTTTAACTTTTTTAAACATTGTTGGCTAAAAAACTTAAAAGTTTTGTTGAACTCAAATAACTATTGTCTTTAGTTATACTTTTCTACTGGGTGTTTAAGACCAAGTTACAGAGAGACCTATATTAAATAAAAACCTCTTGCTATCTAACAAGATCAGTTGAGTCTCCTCAGGCACTATCTTGGAACCATGCATAGAGCCTCTTAGCTCCTCTGTCAGTGTCAGCCATCAGGATATGTCACGGCCTTGCTTGACCATGTTGCTTTCTCCGAAAGCATGGGAGATTTTTTTCCTCCAGGTGCCATTCCTTTGGCACACTTTTTGTTGTATCTTTACTGTTTTGGTGTTCAGCAACCTCCCTGCTTAGGAGGTTGGGTGACTCACCAAAAATGCAAGATCTTGGAGATGGTTCCCTCATGACCTGGATCTTTTTGCTATTGTTGACCTTGGAGGGCCAGGGCCAAAATATTGGCTACCTTCTTAGCCCAGATACCTCTTCAGTTTTGGTCTCTAAACTTTGTTGAACACCCAGAAGAGAAGATCAATAACATTAGCGTTGTAAGAGGAGTAGTGAACTCAACTATTATAATTTTACCTGTATATTAAGCATTTTGGAATAAAAATATAGTTAAACTGCTATTATTGTCAATTATGGTTGCTCTTGTGGTTGGATCCCTAAGTAGCTATCTTTTTGTAGGATGTCATCTAAGGAAAATAAGTCAACCTACAAGTGTGCTTATTATCATAGCTGGCTGGAGCCTAAGGGAAGGGCAAATATCTGAATCAAAAGGTTATTACCATAAACAATATGTTGAAAGACCCATACAATTAGAGGGCATGAATACATTTTGTACACCAGAAAAGGAGCAGTAATAAATATCACAGTTATATAAAACCTTATGTTCTTCACTGTAGTTTGGTACCAAAAGCATCTTCCTAATAACACTCTCGTTTATGCCACAGAAATTAATCTTTTGAAGATGACCAATGTAGACATATCACAATAACATTGTTAGAACAACCAATATAAACATTTTATAATAGCATATTTAGAACTTAAACTTCAATGATAACCAGTGTAATCAATTTATAATAACATAATATTTATTGTGGTGTGTCTCCCATAAGATTATGAAAATTACTTGGGAGTCCCTTTAGTGAATTAAGACCAGAATAATTATTTTCTGGGTGGCCGCTTCTTTATTCACCAAGGGGAGTACCCATGGTCTCTATGTACTTTGACAAATAAATCTCAATGGCATTTTGATCAGTTAGCAACCTGGGGGAAGAAGGGCATGCCTTTAATTTAGTAACATTTATCTGTAAACCGATCCAACAATAGGTGAATATCTTAAGGGAAAAAAAAAATTTTTTTTCCAAAAGATGAAAAGGATAAGAGAAAAAAAATTTTGAGCT